TGGCCAGCCTCCTCCAGTCTGCACAGTTTTAAAGGGAAAACTTTCTCCCCAGGAGCCAGGGTGCATCCATTGCTCAAGGAGCCCGGAGACTGCTACACACTGCAGGAGGTGGAGGAGGTTCGCTGGCCCCGAGCGGGGGGGGGGCAACCCCCACAGGGCTGACTCCCCAGCATCTAGGGCTGGCCATAGCAGGACATCCGGTGCCCGGCAGGGGACCTGGCAGCTGGCAGCCCCTCCCGGAGCCGCGGACCTGGCAGCACTTTCCTGTCCCATCCTCCTTCTTGGCAAAAGCCCCCTCCCGGGACAGCCCGCACCGCCACAGGCTCTGAGCACCTCCCGCTCCCACTGGACCCTCGGGCCAGCCTGGGGCGGCGGACGGGGCGGGGGACCCACAGCCGGCTGTCTGCCCCTCAGGGTCTGGCCCAGCACAGGCCGGCGCTGCTGTTCCTCACCCACGGGGAGTCATCCAGCGGGGTGATGCAGCCCCTGGACGGCTTCGGAGAGCTCTGCCACCGGTGAGTCCCGCCCTGGCAGTGTGGAGCCGCACAGACCTCTCCTGCCCAGTGAGGGAGCAGGGGGCCCACCCGCCCGGCCTCTGTCATGGGGCCTGAGCTGGAGCCAGCCCCTCCCACTTGAAGAGGAAGCCCCCCCCCCGCCCCGTGCCTGGGGACAGGACCAGGTGGTCCACACCAGGTCCATGACCAGGCACCGCCTGCTGTGGTCACCCCAGGGCCTGCAGCGGCCTCCGGAGCGGCCCTGCCCTCTGCGCCCTCCTCCAGCCCCGCCCCGGGTGGGGGCTCTGGGGACCCTCCCTGTGACGGTCCCTGTGTCCCAGCACAGCCAGTACAGCTGACCACAGGACCGGAGAGAAGCTCCGTGGCCAGGGAGGGTAGCCACGGCGGAGCCCCACCGAGGAACCCACCCATGGCCCACCACAGGCCCAGTCGGACTTCTGACCCCTCCCCAGCAGGCACCAGTATCGGGAGGGAGCCGGGGCAGAGGAGGGCAGGTTCCTGTGGGTCCTCTCCTGCCTCTACTTCCCACCAGGCGGCCCAGCCCCATGGCTGCTGGCTCTGTGCTACCAGGACACCAGCACCCAAGCTCCCAGACTGGCCTCCAGGGGAAAACGGGGATTATGACACCTTGGAAGCCCCAGTACTCATACCTACTCAATACCCACGCCTGCCCAGGACTCACACCTGCCCAGTACCCACGCTTCTCAGTACCCACACTGCCCAGTATCCATGCCTGCCCACTACCCATGCTGCCCAGTACCCACGCTTCTCAGTACCAATGCCTGCCCAGTACCCACGCTTCTCAGTACCCACACTGCCCAGTACCCACTCCTTCTCAGTACCCACACTGCCCAGTATCCATGCCTGCCCACTACCCATGCTGCCCAGTACCCATGCCTGCCCAGTACCACACTTGCCCAGTACCCACACCTGCCTAGTACCTACACCTGCTCAGTACCCACACCTGCCCAGTACCCACACCCGCCCAGTACCCACACCTGCCCAGTACCCACACCCGCTCAGTACCCACACCTGCTCAATACCCACACCTGCCCAGTACCCACACCTGCCCAGTACCCACACCCGCTCAGTACCCACACCTGCTCAATACCCACACCTGCCCAGTACCTACACCTGCCCAGTACCCACACCTGCCCAGTACCCACACCTGCTTAGTATCCACACCTGCTCAGTACCCACACCTGCTCAGTACCCACACCTGCCCAGTACCCACACCTGCCCAGTACCTACACCTGCCCAGTACCCATGCCTGCTCTGTATCCACACCTGCCCACACTAGTCCAGGTCCACAGCTACTCAGTACCACACTAGTCCAGGTCCACAGCTGCTCAGTACACTAGTCCAGGTCCACAGCTGCTCAGTACCACATCTGCCCACACTAGTCCAGGTCCATAGCTGCTCAGTACCACATCTGCCCACACTAGTCCAGGTCACAGCTGCTCAGTACCACACTAGTCCAGGTCACAGCTGCTCAGTACCACACTAGTCCAGGTCACAGCTGCTCAGTACCACCCTGCTCACACTAG